AAAAAGAAAGAATACCCCCTGGTTTCCAAAAATAAATAGAAGTGTATATAAACTGTCCTTGTTTTGGTCTTTGTCTTGGCTGTGTTGGTAAACACAACCAGTCTGAGGGGGCATCAGTGGATGCCATGACAGTGAATTAACAGGCCTTCATACAAGTGTGTAATACAAATTCTTTCTACACCTTGCATCTAACATACACAGAACTATAGTATTAGAAAAAAGCTAAAAGAGAAATTAATAAATACTAAAGATTAAAATCTAAAGGGGAAACAAGCAAATTAACTGAAACTAAAACCAAGAAAACGAGAACAATTCATTCTAACAGCTCTGCAACAATACAGTGTAAGAATTCTTGATCTCAAAACTTTATGGTGGCGCATTTTAATTAAACCTCATTAGACTCCTCAGTATTCAGTAGACACGCTGGCTCGTTGTGTACATGTCACGCTTTGTCTCTCCTAAGAGTGAAATGGACACGCATGCTTAAGTTGCAGTACCAGCATAGGGAGATAAAATATTTAAAGCCAACAAGCCACTAGTCACCAAGGAAGGTATAAATTCCAAGCTCCTTTTAAGCCAGAAACAATAAAGCTAGGTGGCTGGTGTGTATTTATATGCAAATGTGTTAGTAATGTCTCTTTAAATGTGTCTGTGTAGGTTCTCAGTCTCATCCATGGCATGGTAGTCTAAAGAACCAGAGCTCTGTTGTTCAAGAAACTTAGAAGTCCAGTCGTTTTTTTTCCCCAAGCTCCTCAGTCTGTTTATGCTTTCCTATGACTATTTTCATGTTGGCTTGAATAAGATTTGAAGTTTTGTTTTACTGAAATATAATCTGCAACTGAAGCATATGTGTTCATTTCACGCTTAAGAGACGTGCCTATGACATGCTCTGCCGTGATATTGGGTGTCTTACTCTCTACTGCTTAATAGCCTCCTCTTTGCATGTTCCACGGTTACCCTTTTGTACCACTTTTTTCCCAAGCTCTTAGACTACCATGTCCTGGATGACTGAGAACCTACACAGACCATAATGCTGAGGCTTGTTCTTCTGTCAGGCAGATTTGAGTGTAAACAGAGCAGATTTGAGAAGACAGGTGGTACATGGGATCGTCATATGGTGCTACCTCATATGGAACAGAAGTATATAAATCTTATAAAGTTTGTATCTGTCTTGTGTGAAACTTGTATGAAAAGCATGCAATAGTGATCCCTAGAAAAATTATATAAATGAAACTTGTATGTTTTGTATACTTACTAAAACAATATATGAAAGTGGCCACTTTCATGAGTAAATCATATAAACCTTATATGATTCACTATATGAAGTAGGCCACATCTGATGCAAGTCTTTTATACGTTTTTTCTATTTCTTTTCCATATGGGATGGCACACTACAAAAAGTTCACATTTCTCAAATGCCTTAACCTTGCTAAATAAAATCGTAAAAGCTGTAGACAAATGCAAAACAGGGATTATTTTATAAGCATATTGAAGAAACCTGTTTGATCTAAACATAAAGGATGAAATCAAGGTTTTGCTGAACTTTTTTTAACTTAGCTTTTTTATTTAGAGAAAAGTTTGAATAACTTTAGATGATTACATAAAGTCAGTCTGGGTGACAAACTGATAGAACAAGAGGGAACACAGATTACACGATGACACAAAATGTTTTCTTTCTGAAGTTAAACTCTGACAAAGCAGGAAACCGGTCACCTCGACCTGTCAGCTGACCCTCCTGCTTATTGTCTCTCTGGTTATTGCTCACAAAATTAAGCTGATATAGTGCATCAATAGCTTCACTCCTCTTTCATCCACATCATTGCACTTTGTGTGGTGAGGGGGAAAAAAATACTCTCTTTGTTAGTGCAGAAGGCCACTTATGACAGAGCAGTGTGTGGTGGTATTGAGTAAAGGACGACGCTGACAGGGCCAACATTCTTCACAGCGTCACTGAGGCTGGCTGACTTACTGGCTGGTCGCTGGTTTGGTTGTGTGTGTGTGTGTGTGTGTGTGTGTGTGCGCGCACGCCTATGTGTGTGTGGAGGGAGGTGGACAGAGGACAGCAGTGTGCTTTGTAATCCTTCGTCACTCCCCACCCACCCCCTACCCTCATCTGCCTGACTCGGTTACTCGTCCTCAGACTGTGGCCCGAATTACCCGCCACAATTGGCCCGTAATGGCATAAAGATTGAGGTCTGGACGGGGCATTAATCACAAGGATGTGGCTCAGCTGACCCTGAGTCCTCAACAAGAAGGAGGTGACGCCAAGCGGATGTGAGAAAGGAGGCAGGAAGAGGGCAGCAGAGATGGTGCATTGAGACAGAAGTGAGAGATGGGGAAGCTGAAGGAGAAAAGAGAAAAACCAGAGTTCTGACCTTAAGAAGTAATCAGTTTTATTACTTAACATGTTCTGAAAAGGACACGAGGACATTGTATTAGAGCGTTGCACTGTGTGCACTAGGCTCCTAACAGAGACTGTGTGTGTATGTGACAAAATGCAGACTTGGCAGAGGTGATGTGTGATTGATTTTTGCTAATTTAATAGAAGACTCATTTCAGACTAAATGTTCTACTTATGTCTTAAATTTAGACCTTGAGCTTTCTAAATTAGAAACTTTATCTCCACCGAGCTGAAAATCATCTCTGACATAAAACTGAAAAGTTAACAAAGGGGATTTAAGTAGTAGCAGTTTTTTTTTAATGATAAGTTATCATATTTAAGCTTGAGCATCAAGAGCACATGTTTGGGAGGTATTGTAGTAACAAATAGGACTCAAACTAATAATATAACTACCACCTCTAAGGCCCCGAAGTTGGCTAACCTCATCCACTGGTGGGTGATCATATCTCCCCCCCGACCTGTTGTCCTGACTCCCCCTTGCCCTAGCATGTCTATTGTAATTCATCAATCTTTAGCCATGAGGATACAGGACTGGATACAGATGCACAAGGCAGGAAACACATGTGGTCTTACTACTACGCTATCCAGCTGCTATAGCTGGGACATCGTGTTTTTGGGTTTGAAGCACTCTGAAAACAAGAAACCACAGAAACATGTGAGGGGAAAGACCATCTCTGAATCGAGGAGGGGGCCTAAGGCTACTTTCACCATCTTACAATGCTGTGATTGCAGCCATTCCCCAACTCTCCGTGAATGGTACTCATGGCCTTTGATCAGTGGCCTTTGATCAATGGTTGTTGATCAATGGTCATGAAAATTTGCATATTAATGATCAAGGAACTGACCTCACAGCGCATTCATTCAGTGGGCTGGTTTCAGTAATTATGGAAATGTACTGTTTATAAGATTGGGGAAACCCGCAGTCAGCCGAGACTGAACAAGCCACTTGGATGAGTGAAGAAACATTTCTACCACTGAAAACTTTACGTCAAGATGATCAGAATCAACCTTTTGGGATTTACTTACCTGGATAATTGAGGATGCATCAAGATATAATTGGATAACCTCAGATTTCAAGGACCGTGGCAAATAGTCATTTATTGAGCAGCTGTGAGGCCGACTAGCAGTTGTAGTTGGCTTCAAAAAGGAGGCTGTTATCAATACATTGCACCCTTAACCCTTTTAATCATCACGTTGGGCTATCCAATGACACCCTAAATGATGCTAAAAAGGCTCTGTTACTGAAAACCTTGTGTTACTGGCATGCTGATAGCAATCCTTTGATGTCATCAGTGAGTGACAGAGAGCTATCTTAATAATAATTGACATGATAGTTGTGGCAGTTTTCTATAATGTATTCAATGTCAAATCATATGTGAAGTAAATGGTATTGTGTAGCCAAATGTCAAAATGTGGATCAGCTTTTAGTTCCATTTGTCTTCTGTTAGGTGTGAAATATAACCTGAGAATACATGTTGCATATAATCAGCTGGCGTATAATCATTATTCACTAGTAATTAAGTCACTGTGCATGTATATATTCAAGAATACATTATATGTGTTTTCTTGTTGTCTGTTTTCCTACCCATCTTATCCTCCTGGGTGTATGACAGGTAAATTGCATGTATAAGTTGTAAAGCAGTTTGAGCTTAAGAGTAGCAGAAAGCTATTGCTTAGACAGGTGTCCCTTCTTTCTTGAGACACTTTGCATGTTTGCATTCTGTTTGGTGCTGCGTGTTGTCGTGGTGGGGGATGTCAGTCATTTATTGAGCTTCTTACATTGACTTTACCCTAAAAACACAGGCCCTCTTCATACTCAGAACCAGTTCAAAAACATCTCAGATCAAGATAAAAGGGAAAGTGAACCACTTCCTGCTGCCCCTGACGTTTGGGTATTGAGTGGAGTGGAGATGCCAGCAATCCACTTAATGTTAAATACTGTAGCCTTTTATCTTGAGGGAAGAAAATACAGTGAGCTAAGAGCATAAAAAGGAGCACTTATCTCCTCTTGGTCACTAATGGTGGTGACAGCAGCAGCGTTGACCCAATGTAATGTTCAGAGGGCTTTCAAGTTCCAGATGAGATTTTCAAAGGAAACAGTCAAACAGCATGTTAAATTGCTTCTATTAATATAACAATTACGCCTTTGTTCATAGTTTTCTGCAATTAAGGTCCAATTAAGGTGTACACCCTAATGTAGTTGTTTGATTAGACATAAATATGACATTAAAAAACATGAAAGAAATGCCCAGTGGAATAAACTGGTAGTTCTTAAGGTTATTTTAAGGTAAAAGAAGGAATATATAAATGATTACTGACATGAAAGCATTGTTTAACTGGATGTCTTTACCTCTGTATTACAGACTGTGAATGATCTTGAAATGCATCCAGGCATTAGAGCAGTGTAGCCACTAGATCCCCCACGGCTTTTCCTTAGAAAGGATATATTTTGGCATTTTCTTCTGTTTAGAGCCCCACATTTGCATAAAAGTGTCTAATTCAGAAGATTCTGGGATCACCTCAACAAGCAACCCCCACCGCTTTATGACAAAGGGATATAGTCGATTTAAAAGCATACAGGAGCCATTTATGAGTGCAGCAGAAGGAGACATGGATTTATTTTAAAACGATAGTATTTGTACAAATGTTGAGCCATATCCAGGTTTTATTAAACAACATCTTACTGTGATGCTCTGGCAGGGAGGTACACATGGATGGAATGCAGTTATTGTTTAATTTGTATATTAAACAGGTCATTTGGCTTGTATGGTGAGAAATGTAATGGAAGTGCTTGTTCTCGATGTCCCCCCTTTGCACACACATTATGACAAATAGGAGGCAGTGATGGTTGTAACCAGGGACATTATAAAACAGAGACAGAGAACAGAAAGTGAACAGGATACAATTCAGTGGCCACTATATTAGGTACACCAGTGGAATCCACTTTATAAAAAGCAGTTCTAACTTAACGAAGCCTTTAATAATTAGATTTGGTACATATTAGTAACGCAGGGGTGCTTTAGATACCTAGGATGTTGATAGCACATGGAAATTGTGGAAATTCAACACCATCTTTCTGCGATACATTACGTTTAAAGTAACGTTAACTTTACTCTGTTTCACAGGATGCTGTGAGAGTCGTTATGTAACTCTAGAAACAGTGTTGGATGACACTGTCTGTAGTTCTGGCTGATCTTGTCATTTGACCTGACTGACATCCTGAGAACACCAATCAATGCGGTTTCCCAACACCAGAGGTAACAGTACACACAGTTTCAGACTGAATATCAACACAAAGAAGCATTTATTCTTTTTAAATTGTAAATGTGCAGATTTAATGCTCATATGGACAAATACATGGTGGTGAGCTGCCCTTTGTAAATCCAAATCTCAGCAACAAATTGGTGCAAAATTACATCAAAATGCCTGAAAGAAAACAGTAGGTAATACATGTGCATCAAAGACATCATGTTACTGTGTATGCAGTGCAGCTGATAAAGGTGACTTTACAACATTAAATGGAGGTTTGATATGAGAGATAAAGGGAAAGCATCCTAACATCACATTGAAACGTTCTGTGATGTACAAAATAAAGAGTTAGAAATGAATAAAGACACTGAGGGCACAAGCAAAGAAATGTGATTACTGCACAGACTTCCTTTATAAAATTAATTATCTACAGTTTCTGTTTAAAAAAAGAAAACAAAAACAAACATTTGTGAGTTAATTAAAAAATGTTAAACCGCATTTTGCATTTTTAATAAATAATATATACTGAGATGTGTTATATTAAAGTTTGTGTTACGGATAAACAGACTTGAAATATCACGAGGGAGGATGTATATGGTAGCTTCACAGTAATGAAAAAATAAAAAAGGCATATGAACACCATCAGTAGTTTGTGTGTGATACCGACCTTGAGGTTACATCGCAGCCCAGAATAAACATCATGTTTGGAAGATCAGTTGCATAATAAAATTCCACAGAGGGTTCTAATGTACGGGTAAAGCATTTCACTTATAGTGCATATACAAATGTGTGTATATAAGGCCCAGAGCTACAGATAATGGACCTTTTTCATCACAGAGGACCTGAGCAGATATTAAAACCTATAACTTCAACTGTGTAGGGAAAAACAAACCACACATATTTCATAAAACACTTTTTTTTAACTTGCATCCAATGAGCTTCATAGCAAAAATGCAGTTCTTTGAATTCACAACTTCAAAATTAGCAAATGAAACTTTTTCCTCTAGTGAATCATTGTAATAGACCTCCGCCAACTAAAGACTTTTGCAATTATCTAGTTAAATCGGTGTTCTTCTTTACTGGTTTTGCTCCTGAGTCTCATTGGGTTTGTAAATCAGGAGGACTTTATATCAACTATCAATATCTTTTGACTGGAGGTCAAAGTCTATTAGTTTTGTTTGGTGAAAAACAAGTTCTATTTTATTTTCTCTGTCAATATGGCAGACTGTAGAACCCGGGAGAGACAAAACCACATGGCATGAAAATGGAAAAGGTCTGCCAGCTCCTCGTGGCACATTTCAAAGAAAGCTGTGGTGGAGAGACATTCTCACTTTGCAAGTACTTCTCTGAAAATATACAGACGAGGGACAATGACAAAAACCTTGTATCTGGTCCAAGGAAGAATAAGACTACAAGTACCATTTACCCCTTTTGGGTGCCTGTGAAGAGAGTAGTTTCGCCCCATCTGTATGCTTCAATCCATATCCGTCCTCTTTCCAAACCACTTTAAGGTCAAGGATCATCCAACCCTATTTTTTTGCAGGCTTTGCCTTTGTGTTCACAATTCTCCATTGTGTCTAAAGTCAAAAATAGTGTGTCCAGTGAAATTCCCCTTTGGACGTTTTGGATGCGGTGGTACCTCGTTGAGGGCACATAGTTCATACACAGGTCCCTTGATGGTGCACAATGTGTTTGCGGTGCTTCAGACCCAGGGTTCTTTCTTTTAAGTCCATCACTCGCTGCTGTGACGTGTCGACCAGAGCACTGGCTATGGCGATACCTGCAATCCCAGAGACAAAATAGGGTAATCAGTGAAAGATGGGCAGTATTATGCTGTTTTAGATGGGCTCAAATTGTACTGAAAGTGTGATGTGACAGAGGTGAGATAAATACGGCTTGATCAAGGTAAAACTACGACCACTTTTTGAGAGGAGATTTTTATACGTGCCTGTGTTATTTGTTATAAACCCATGTTTGTCCTTATACAGAAATAATTAAAGGGATGTAGACAAGTAGTACAAAACATTGATACATTTATCATAGAATATCACTTCACACCAAGAAAGGGTGGATACATGTTGCAACTGACATGGTTGATTATCTCTCTAGATAGTAAAGTGGCATAGTGTCTTTCCTTATCTACAAGCAGCTAGAAACAGCTAATTGTTACCAAAATTGAAAATAACCCTTTTTCAGAAGTCCCTAAAAGAGAGAGGGCTAAAATTCTTCTTTTTTTTTTAAATGCAGAATATCTTCATTTGTAAGAACACATCCTGCCAAGACAAGACTGATTGAAAAGCCATTCTTTTTAAAAATGTCATTATAGCCAGTAAAGGAGAGTTGGGTCTGTCACCAATGATAACTTATACCTCACATGGTTAAATCTTTTCCATATCCAGTAATTATTTTCAGTGCTTAAATTGTGGAGTTCAAAGTGGAGTTCTGCAAGGATCTAAATTTGTACCTTCTATTTTATAGTCCTTAGAAAAGCAAGTCCCTGTTTGTATCTTTTGAGTTTGATCAGAGAAGTGCTATTTTATCCTCGTTTGGACTTTCATATATTCACAGTCGCACAGGCAGAAGGCCAAGCTAAAGGTAGCACAGCTGAAGATGTCAAAATGACCAGAATGGACAAGAACAGAAGTGGGTATATCAGCGAGACAGCTCAAGTCAAGTGTTTTGGAAATGGTTTGGGCATGAGGGTTGGTTTGCACAGGAGGGATAATAGTTATATTGGACAAAAGATGTTGAATGGATGTAGTGAAGGAGGATGTGCAGAGGCTTGGTGTAACAGAGAAGGATGCTACAGATACGATTAGATGGAAATAGATGCTGTGGTGACCCCCAAAGTGAAAGGAGGACTGTGATTTATTTCTTTTATCTAATAATGTTAATAAAGCTTCTTTCTGGCCACAGCAGATGAATCTGCATATTATTCTGCAAATTTCTATGCCAGAAGTACTTCCTGATGCAACCCTCTCAGGGATGATTTCCAGTAATGTTAATATTAAACTATTACTGATGGTAAAAATAAACAATAGGACAGATGAAAGTAAAGAGGCTGTGCCAGATTTACTAGATGGGGCACAATCTAGAAATAGTAATGATAGTTGTGGTTAGTTTTGCAGGTAATTTACAAAAGTTTTGCTGTTTTCAAAATAAAGTCAGAGTTCATTTCAATGTAACTGCCAAGACCTGTGCAATTTAGGTCACAAACTAAGAGATGATATTCAGCTGCAGGTAATTTACTAACAAGAAAGGCACAGCTTGTTAATTGTAATCAGTAACATATAAATATAGGTCATACGTATGTTGCATGTAGGCCTACATTTAATGTAATTAAATGTAGCCTGGCAGAGAGAGTCGTTTTAATGAACACCGGCTTCAGTAATTGGAAATATCTGATAAATGTTGGCACAATTATGTAAATTGTGTGGCACAAATGTTAGTAAATCAATTTGTTTGCTTAAGTTAAATATTCTCCATCTTATATTTTGTGCATTGAGGAAGGAACCTGATGCGTTTGACAGAGGGTCCATCACTGCACTCTGTTTGTAAATATAGAACGATATCTAATGCTAGTTGGTGCTGGTGGTACGAGTTAGTGAATCTGGCCCTATGGGAGAAAACATCAAGGTGAAATTCCTTAGCATGTGGCGATGCATCATCTTTTCAATAGGCACCTCTTCACAACATCCAAAAAAATGTTTTATCAACATCTTTCTGAACTCAGTAGGAGGCAGCGGGGATAGCGCTCAGGTCAGTGAAGTATATCTTCCCGCCATTGTGTCTTATTTCCTTCTTTTCCCTCTGTCTCCCTCTCACCATCCATCAGGATGTCACACCTCTAAAAACATCTTCTGTGAGTGAAGTTTGCCACGGTTTCCACAGCAGGGCTTACAGACATCAGGATGGATGCACCAAGCATCAGATGCCTCGGAGCATTGTGTTAGTTTGGCAGTTGTACTGTTAATGTGGTTTTAGAGTCATGGCAGCTTTGTCAATACAGCCAGTCCTCTCCCTGCCGACAACCGTGGGCCTGACAATGCATGGTCATTACGACAAGTGCTCAATCTGCCGGCATGCAGGAGCCAAATAAACAAAACAGGCAAATAGCAAAGGGAATCTGCCGTGCTCTTGATATGATTTGGATGCAGGATGTTTTCAGCATTTCACACTCAAGTGATTCTTGGGATTTTTTTTTTTCTCCAGTGGGTGGAAAGGGGAAAGCCGATTACACAGTGCGTGACAGTGTGTACATGACTCTGCAAGTTTATGCATTTAAGTGTGCATTCACCTGTGCACAGTATTATGAGTATTTTGCAAGTTCTGACACAGGCAAACATGGCAGCGAGCGGTAATGTGCTCTGTTCTTCCAAAAAACATTGGAGGCAGATGATCAGCTAGCAGCACATGGTGTGTCGGAATATGGTTCATTACGGCTCTTTGTTTTTTGTTGGCAATAGTTTCATAGGTATGCTTGTTTGGCGACCATACATACAGGATTTGGCTTTTCTTGGACTTTTGGTAATTTGTAATTTGCTTTAAACTCCAGCAAGGATTGTTGCAGATTCTCTGCATGTCTGTGGAGTAAATACACGCCCATGCTATTGCTGCATTGCTTGTATGCTTATTCTATGCAGTGCCACTGATAACGCTGAGCTGTGTGCTTGGATTTTCCTCTTTTTCTTAAATTGGAATTTTAAAACAATATTTATTGAATATAGTAAAGACAGATTCTTTAATTCATTTAAATCTGAGAAGTCTTTAAGCTCAACAAAAGAGCTTAAACAACTCCTTTCACATCCTTTAAGGCTTCATAGATTGTTGGGACAGCAAAAAGATATATTTATTGCATTAACCTCCTACGACCTGGCATCCACATATGTGGACATCACATTTTTGGTTATTTAGACCAAAATACTCTACAGGGGCCTGATATCAAAGGGTGGGTTTTGATTATTGATTAAAATCGATTCTGGCTTGGATAACGTGATATTGATTCATTAAAATCCTGAATCGATTTTTCAATATAAATGTATTTTGCCCCAAACGCCAGAATCTCAGGTTAAACCTCACAAAATTTCAACAACCACCAAACAGCTAAAACAGTAAATGATAGCAGGAACACGGATTCTGCACAAAGACTTAAACACAAAGCGCGGACCCGCCGACGCATCAGAATCAGTGACATGTTGCATTTCTCACCCGAAGGCACGGACACGGTCGGGGCTGAAAGCCGACAGCTCGCTGATTCTGATGTTTCGGCGGGTTCGCGCTTTGTGTTGATGCCCTTTTTGCGCTGATTCTAAAGCTGCAGGTTTTATCTCTCTCCAAACAATATTGACTGCAAAAGAAGATCCAAACTACGCTTCACATAAACATCGTCATGAATTCCCTCTGACTTTTGCTGTTTTGCTTCCACCACCATAAAAATCACACTTCATGCACAGCTCTCTCTCTCTGTGTGTACTTCAAGAACAGTTTCCCGTCTAAAAATCTCTGTTTTCTGCATTATTCACCTGCTTGTTGCACAAGTCTACCGTTGTTTACAGCACTATCGGCCGCTGTTTCTTTTTCTTCTTTTACTTACTTCCGAAAAGAAAGCCTAATTTCTGCTGTTCAATACTGAACAAATTTAAACTTTAAACTATGCAAAATTGCAAAACTCTTAGGTGTGTCTCTAATCAAATCTCTGTAACTTTGCTCTGCTTCACTTAGCAGCAGGTAATGTTCATATGTTGATTAAGGGTTTTCTTTCGTTTTTGATCTACTACAGAATATTTTTATAAAATCCCAGGCCAGGAAAATCGCCTCAGTTAGTTTTATCCTCAGTTACTTTGACACAAAGGCATTTGATAAAGTGTCAGCTTTCTTTTTATAGATATAAAAATATGGAAATGTAATGCTGCATGAACTGAATTATAATATTTCTGACTGTCTAAGGCAAAATTTCCCTGATTCAAATCGATTCTAGAAATCAGTGACGATACCCAACCCTACTGATATCCACTTATGAGGACATTATACTGCTACTGTTCTATTGAAATTTTAAACGAATGTCCTCATATATGGCTCTCATTTTTCTTAGAAACAAAAATCAGGTAGAAAAAAAAAATCTGGTAATTCTTTGTTTTTACATTCATCGGGTCCCAATATGCCCAAATATCAAAGAGAAATTAAAAATGCATGCTGTGGAAGAGTTCGGGTCTTAGGAGGTTAAATTAAATTCCCCTCAATGAGAAGAGAAAAGAAACTTGAGGGTTTAGAAGTGTTTGATAAATAATCAAATGAAAAACATGAGCACAACAGATAATAAGAGGCATTTCTCACATTTCCTAAATCTGCTGTCACAGGTTTGTTACCTGGTTGTTTGCAACTTATTTGCTTACCACAAGAACTTTATAAAAAAACACATGCAGCAGGAATGTAATGTTTCTGTGGAACATTGAGCCATTTTCATTTACCTACATACATGCACTGCATCTGCACATTATCAAACACATGGCCTCACAATGAAAGATCACACAGAGTGAAAAAGCAAACCGAAATAATTTTCTAACGTGATATCTGAATATTCCTCCATCAAAAAAGCTTTCACCTCTGACAAATTGCCATCATAATTGTGTTGATTTTTCCAGGTGAACACACACATCTCCATTTGCAAAATTAAATTGGTCAAAAGTAATCAAATCATGCTGCAGGTGAGTGCAAGTGCTCATTTGCTGCCGTGGTAACAGAGCACATTAACGTGATTGTTTTGTCAGGTGAGTTGACGCATCATTAACCCCCCCACCCCACCTCACCCCCCTAACATGCACAGACCCCTCCAACTCCTGATGTACTAATAGGGTCATTAGCAGGAGACAAAATTCCCCAGGAACACATATCGACACAGACCCGATGTGGAAAACTGGGACTGCAGCTGGAAAACATCTGTGACAGGCGGAGCCTGCTTGCTAACCTGGTCACAAAACTCACAGTGAGGCCCTCCTATATAAGAAACATCAAAGCTTGGTTTTGTGTTTCCCCTTGAATGAAAGTGGGAAGCGTGCTGAGGATGCAGAGCAGTGGTAAACAGAAGAACAGAGCTATCAGCATTCAATGAAGCCAACGTAAATTAAAATCAGTCAAACAGCAACATACTGATATTCAAATATTAATAGATCCACGAAACACAGATTTCAGTAAACATGACACATAGCTACAGTGGCTTTGAAGTACACATGTTGGGATTCAGGTATCTAGGATGCTTTACTTTAATAGTACATGACAGCATTTGGTGGTGGATTTCTTCACGCCTGCTAAGAGATCTGAAGTGCACAAATTTACATTTAAATATCTCTAAGTGTATTAGAGCCAAGAGGACAAAAAGGCAGACCAGTATGCCCAACAGTAAAACAAAACAACCAAAACCATGTGTCTTTAAAGTTGAAAAGCAGTCATTTTAGTGGCTACATGAATTCAAGCAGTGGTGCTCATTGGGGAGCTGACTTTGCCTCGACTTTCCTTTGCTGCGTTTTTCTTTTAAATGTATCTGATAAAATTATAAAGTCAGCAAGACCTTGAATCTCTTACTTGATCCGTATACACTTCTAAACTGATGTCCATCAATTTAATAGTACGCCCGCATTTTGGAGCAAAACAAAAGGCAAGTGGCAAAGGAAAAACAAGATAAGGGTTAAGACTTCATCATTCAAACCTGCACAATAAATACAGGAGTTGTTTGTGTGTAAATGCCACACAATGGGTAAAAGTCAACAAGCAGACAGATGGAGGAGTGGGGGGTGACAGAAGGGCGTATCCCAGTGGGTTAGATGGTCTCAAAGATGGAGAGGATCAAAGTATTGGAGATCCATTCTGGGTCAATGGAGCTGAGTTTCCAAGCTTTGCCCTCCAGTTCCTGTCATGCAGCTCTCAAGTCTGACACTCAGAGGGTGACAGTGGGGGTGTAGGGAGGAGGGTTTGAAGAGGTCAACTCACAGAGTGGAAGAAAAGGACAATACAGCTACAGCAATCCTTTTAGGACACTCAGTCTGCTTATAAAAATTCATGTTGAGAAATGTGCTTATTTATAATAGCCAGACAGTTAAATGAGGTCGATAGAAATTTAATCATTGGGTATAGAATAAGATCCAAGAAGTATTTTGTCTCGCTCTTTAAAAATCTTTAAGAACAATTAGCATTGAAGCCCAAAACACAGAGAGCTCACTTTTCTCTCTTAAATCTATTTTCATAAGAACAGCATGTAAATTAAAAATAAATAAAAGTTGGCTTAATATTTATTTTTCTATTCTGTCCTTTTGGTGCTAATGTTTAGTCACAACTATAAACGGTAAAGCTTACTTGGTTTTGGGTCTCACACCCTCCCGCCTAATAAAGGAGACATGGAAATGTGTTTAATTTAATCTCGCTTTAATCAGGCATCAATTTTATTCATTGAAGGCTGTTAGTGATAAATAGCATACCATTCTAACTGATCAATTTTCTAATCTCTTCTCTATTAGCTGTAGTTTGAGCAATGTAAAAGAGACTTGGCAGCAGATGAGGATCAAGCATATAAACGTTGATACATTTTCTGCATTGCCAACTGAAAACAGGAAGATTTCTATAATAGTGTGATACACAGTTTGCACTGCTGTGACTGTAAAGCTCTGCTCCATTCAGTGGTGATAGTAAAATACAGTGTCACAGATCAGTGTCACATTGCATGACTGAGTCGAACTGTCAGAGAGACGGCCCAGTATTTGACTCCAGGATACTTTGGTATGCAGATGAGTTTAAGGTGAATGCAAAGTGTACCCGATCCAGTAACTACAAAACAAGTCTAAATCATTACCCTCGACAGTTTTTCATATGGCTTTGTTCAACAAACGTATCTTTTATAGCCAAAAAGCTCCACTTTGGTCACATCTGTCCAAAGGACATTGTTCCAGAGCTTTTGTGGTTTCTTCAGATGCAACTTTGTAAAACTAAACTGTGCTCCTGTGTTCTTTCTAGAGAGAAGAGGCCTTCTCCTGGCATCCCTTCCTAAAAAGCCTTACTTGTCTTTTTCTAATTGTACTGTCATAAACCTTAACATTTAATAATCTCTGACCATTGTACACTCTGCTCTGGGGGTGAATTTGATGGGGCATCCATTACTGTAATGCAGTCCTGTGACAACATTCTTTACGAGATCATTGTATAAAACATATTCCTACAGCAAAGAGTCTATACAACACTTAACGCATAGTATAAATAAAAGAATCTGTGAAAACATGGCATTTCCTGTGGATTTTAAACCAAAGCTCTAAATCTGATCTGCTCCGTGCAGCTTATGTCTATCATGATCTAACCAGGTAAAGAGAGCCATTGTTGTGACACTAAAAACTTTGGCTTTAGGCTCAACAAAGCTTGTTAACCTATTCATTTTCTTTCTAGCATAGCTGACAGAACAAATGCATTCTTGTTTTCATCAGTCCAGCTGTCAGTATGTAATAGCTTGCATTACTCTGTGTATATCCATGAACATAGCTTGAAAACACATTTCACATGTTTATGTAGAAGCCTCGATTTGAGTATTTTTCACAGTATTATTTTTATTGGAGTTAGAAATGTACATATCAGGGCCCTGTACTGAAGAACACCCAGGGGATCATTTCCTGGTTTCACATACCCTAACATTGTTTAATTACTTAAAGAGACCCAAACCATTTTGGGGACTAGGCCCTAAAGATGTTGATTTCTGCTGTAAATGTTGGCATTTAAACAAAGGATTCAAGAATTTACGCACTTTTTTTTGCTCACTTTTGAAAGCAGTCTCAGAGGGTCCCTATCTAGACACAGTTTTAACAGGTAGCTATACATGTAGTAGAACGACATGAAAGTCGAACCATTGTTTTGGTCCTGAGGTAAAAAAACAGACAGTTGCTTTCCAATTTCATTGTTACTTCTAGAATAAAAAAGAAACTGCTGCTTAGCGGTTTTAAAATAGATTTTTAAAATATTTAAGTGTTCACAATGGAAATGCTAAAATGTTGTTTCCAAACAACAATTGTGCAAAGAGAGATGTTAGGCACATTCTGACCAGCTTTGTGGATCTACTAAGCTGTTCAATAAAGCTGCAGAATATTTCTATAAATCCTTTGTTTGCTCCCTGCACAATCATACTGCATCAAGGAGTAATATGGCAAACGAGGCTTAACTAAATTAGGAAAGTGTTTTATTAATGTGTCAACTCTTATCATTTTTTTTCCATAGTGGTGTATTTTTGCCCTATTGAGGGATAATAAAGTTGAATTTTTCTTCCCTTTCGGGAGAGGGCCAACATGAGAATGATAGAGCAAAATGAGCAAAAGATGCTTTCTCAGGAGAGGGAACAAGGCAAAGAGAAGCCTTTTAGAGGGGTTTGGCTTATCTCCCAAATCTGTCCCCAAGTTTGACCATCCATTCAACATGTGCTTTATGGAATGACAGAATTTCACTGTGGATACTGTCCACAAAAACCTGTGGAAGGTGCTGTGGATTTTGAACTTCTAGTGGCATTGTGATGTGCCAGGATTAAGATGCAGCTGAGGTGAGGAGGGTATCAGGGTTCAGAAACTCAGAATTGCCTCTACTTTTTACAGATAATGTGGTTCTGATTTGCACTTCAGATCTGGAAATCTGCGAATGATGGTAAAATGGAACATGAGATGGGTAAGTAATAGTGGTATGATACCAAATGATTTTCAAACATGAATCAGAAGGCAAGATTGTATTCCACTTTTCACGTTTAGTCATTACCTCTATATTATGACCAAGAGAATGAAAATGTACTTTATCTGAACTTCATTTTGGGTGTATCCAACTTTAGAGAGCACAACGCAAAGCTGCTGTCTGAGAAAATAGTCAGCTGTGGTACTTTTGGCATCTGTGCATGTTTTCCTGCAAAGCCCCTAGATCTAAACTCCAAACTCACTGGAGGATTACATGATGTATCTGGCTTGGGAATGCCTCAGGATGCTACACGAGAAGCCAAAAACATTGGTCACAATATCTTCTTAGACTTCTGCAACCATGACCTGACTTTGGGTAAGAAGATGATGATGGATGGATGGAACAAGTATGGATGGATGGATGCCTACAACATTTGTCTTACTGTGCAAATCTGTTTTTGTTAACAAAGAGGTGTTACCTTGGGCTCCGTTCTTAACAATTCTGTAACCACTGATGTATCGCCAATCTTCTACTTGTTTTCACACATAATTCATTTTAGAAACTTGGTTCTGCTTCTTATCAAAACTGTCTTTGAAGTCTTCCTTTCTCTCTTTGTCTGTCACATTGCTTTTTCTATTTTTACTCTTGACAGACTTAACATCTTACAGTACCTGTATTTCTCTCTTTTTTCCCCTTTTCTCATATATTCAAGGGCCTAACTGTGCTGCTGAATAGGCAGATTAGTGCAGGAAAAGGCGGCTGTGAATAGTGCTGTGCCTCTGTTTCTATTGACCCACTATCTAAGCTCAGGAGAGCGCCTGAGAAGAAAATGTAGCCTACAGTCTGTCTTTCTCCATCCTGAACTCTGCTGCATTGAACTGAGAATAGTTGCACTCTGCTAAATCCACTAATATCATTGATAGAGCCGCTTTATGTACCAAATAATAAAAAAGTGGGGGGAGGGGGAAGAGACACCAGCTGCAGCAGATGGAGCAGAAACGGCTAAAACTGACATGAGAAAGTTCAATTGAATTGGGATGCAGAGACGGAGAAGTGGTGGCTGGAGCCAAAAATACGATCTCTTGTTATTTTTTTCCATTCTCCCCTATGTCACCCATCCTGTCAGCCTTTTTCTCCTGCTCTGTCCATCATGTCAGGCCACTGTGACTTTGAATCAGTCAAACAGTCACACAGTGGTCAAGCTGTCGCGCTGAGCTCTTAGAGGCAGGCACCATGTGTTAGTTGTCCACTGCAATTTGGCTGACCACAGCTGTCAGCCGGTCTAACTGGAGTGGTTGCCTGCTATTTACTTGACTTTTCAGGATTTCTGATTGAATTATTGGACCAGAAAGTGAATCTATTATTAGAGAAATGGATTTGGTTTTACACAGTGATCTTTGTGTTATTTGCAATGTCACTGTATTTCTGTCTAGCTGGATCAAAATGAAGAAACAAGAGCTTCACACGGGAGCTTTTGGAGGCCTCTTCTGCTATCCAGAAAGGATGTTTCACATGCAGAGGTTAGCTCATGCAGCACGATAAAAACTCACACCATCCTGTGATACATGGAGAGTGCAGTTACACTGTAGCGGTGCAGGAAAGTAGAACTGCTCTGCAGCTCATGTAGTGCAACATGTCACACTCTAAAACTCATCAGATTCCCAAATTACCTCTCCAAGCAGAAAGAGTAACTGCTTGGATTTGCAGTCTCATTTTTCGCGGATTAGACTTGGACACTAGACTCACCAGGAAAGCAGGAGCTTTGCCTTTAGGCGTACGCTCTCTTTATCATAAGTTTAGCAGAACCCTGGCTAATGCTTGAACAATATGCCAGTTTATCTGTGCTCCATCTATCGCTTGCTTTGAAAGAGGGTGAAAACCAAATCAAATTCGGCTGAAATAAAGAAACCTCTTAGAACAGCGTAATGGCTTAATGCTTAAAATGTGCCATTTGTCGCGTAGTTGCTGCAGTATGCACCAGATGTGCTGCAGGTACAGTAAATGACGTTTTTCAACTTAGGGACTGATTGCAATTAAATGTCTTCTCTGCTGGAGTCTGGATAATGAAAAGTGAGACGATTACTAAAAAATCCACACATCAACTTGGAATGACGTCTTTTGGTGATTTACAGAATATCTTTAGTTGAATTGGAAGGTGATGTAGCTCTTCTCAGTAGGTGCTTTTTGATCAGTGTTTTTTGTGCTGATTATGTAAGACTAAGTGGATGCTGGACAGTAACTACATACCTTCCACTGCATGGAAATCATGTAGATCGAAGGCATTTTTCTCTTGACATTTGCACTAACAGGAACTCTGAAGTGAAGTACTAGTTGCTGGGTAGTGGTTGGTAATGCAGTGTCACCTTGTTGTGGTCTTTTCATTTTTTTTCAGCCTCTTCCTTTTCTTTCTGCGCTTTTTGTGAAGTGTTCTCTAATCTGCTCTTACCTGTCAAAACTATAATTTCCTCTGGCTTTTTTAATAGATTTCAGGTTATTTAGTTGTGTTTTTTTTAAAGGTTGATGTTAAGAGCTCTTGTTTTTGTTAGCGTTAGGCCTTTTTGTCCATTTAATGACCAATTAGCATACACTTATCTACACCTACGTTATATTAAGCAAGATGAGTAAGACTACAAAAACGTAGCACCAAAAAGTAGAATGGTTCCCAGGTCCAGCAGTGTACACACAGGAAAAAATACCAGGTACTACCTTGTACAGTTACTAGAATTATGGATAAGTTCCTGCAGTCTGAAAGAACCTGTGTGGAGGACATTTTTTATCCCCCGCCTTCAAAGAACAGTAATGGAACATTACAGAATAAGGAAAGAGTAAGCAGGATTTATTCTACTTTTTTTTTTTTTTTACAGGAAGCTGAGAAACTGTGAGCTGTAAACATGGGGCTTCATTTTGTTTCCAATTGTTCTTTCCCCCTCTTACATGTAAAGGGTCAGTTAATGGTAACACCTCGAGGGAGCAGAGCAACGCAGGACAAGAAGAAAACAAAGATGATGCGAAGGAAAGCGAGCTAAAATGGGCACGCTCATCATAGATTCCTCTTGAAGTGTCTTTCACAGAGGGTGGGTGGAGCAAGCCTGCAGTGATTTCACCTTCATACATGCTAACATCAATGGGGGACTGCTGTCTGACCCTACACAAGAGCCTCTCTAGGGAGCATAAGGTTGGTAGGAGAGGAGCATGAGTGTATAGTAGGCGGGAAATTTGTTGTTACTGAAGCACTTTCATGTGGCGTTCTAAAAGTTGTGTTGATGCTCTACATTTCGTTTGTATTTCTGAATACTGTGATTGTCTGTTTGTGCTTATGTGGTAATCAGAGCAACAGTAACAATGTCAGACTTCAAACACTGGTAACAATAACTGCTGTTCCACTGTGATGAGAAAGGCCTAAACATTCTCCAGAGAGCAGCCTGACTGGAACAATGAGCCTCGTATCGCCCTTAATTTTCTGAAAATGAGTCTAAACCTTCTGTGATGAGCTATATAATGTCCAAAACATCAGGTAGATTAAGGTAGTGAACAAAAAACATCATGCAAATTGTAGTACTTTCATTATAACACATCGCATGTGTGGTTCAGCAGTTAACTGGCTTTTTTAAATCAAATTTGTCAACAGTGAATACATTCCTATAATAGGGATTTTGTGTGTGTGCATTTAAAAAAAAATCCCCTCGTCCTTGTGAGCAGTCTTTATTCTTTCAAGATTGGGTCGTCTACCAGAGGCCTGGAAGCTTGTATCTTTGCTGTTCCTAGGACTGCGCTCTTCTGGAAAGGGATCTGCTGGAGCCACTTGCCTAGCTTTGGGGTCACTGCACCGAGTGCTCCTATTACCACTGGGACCACTGTTACCTTCACCCTCCAAATCTTCTCGAGTTCTTCTTTGAGCCCTTCGTACTTCTCCAGCTTCTCATGTTGCTTCTTCCTGATGTTGATGTCATTCGGTATCGCTACAGTTATCACCACAGGTGTCTTCCTCTGCTTGTCCACCACCACTATGCCCAGTTGGTTAGCCATCACTGGTTTGTCCATCTGTATCTGGAAGTATCATCAGGGCATACTCAGCACAGATGTTTCTGTATACTAAGCTTGGTTATGGCGTTCCATGTATGCCCTATCTGCTAGCATCTTACACCCTGCTGTTATGGTAAATGGACTGGTTCTTATATAACGCTTTTCTACTCTTCTGAGCACTCAAACCGCTTTACACAACTTGTGCATTCACCCATTCACACAAGCACATTGTTCTAAGTGCTTTTCTAAGTAGCATTCACACACATTCATACTCCGATGGATGCATCTGGTTAATATCTTACTCAAGGATATTTGGGAAGCCAGGAATTGAACCAGGATCAGTAGATGACCTGCTCTACCACCTGAGCTACAGCCACATGTGCTGGATTGTCACAGAGGCATCTTAACACAGCCTGCACCTGGGGTCTTGTCTGGGGAAGTAGACCCCAACCTCTATGGATCTTGTAGTGCCATGATTAGCACAGAGGCACTAATCATGACAGCACAGGGACAAGCTGTTTTGGTCCCGCTTTGTCCAGCCAGCGGTAGGATTTCTGGATATCAGCCAGTTGCTCTATCTGCTGGTGGGGCAAATTATTATTATTGTTGTTGTTGTTGTTGTTATTTATGGACTGGTTGGCTAAGATTAATGGCAGGAAATTGATGGATGGCCTAATGACACACAAAGGAGAAATTTAACATTTCTTGGCTACTTTCTGGTCCTCATTTTTTCATGAAACACTTGTGTTACCTTTAGTGTCTCTAGTTTTCTCTATAGTTAGCATAATTACTTCTGGGTCTTTAATGCTTTATTCCTTCCCCTGTGTTAGACTCCAGTGACTGTTGCTATGTTTTGCAGGATCTTTCAACCTTGAGAAAATGCTTTCTTGCAAAGTGGTCAATTTTCTGTCTGCTCTGTTTGTTTTCGTCATCAAGGTACTCATCGCATTGAAGGCAACACTTCCTGCCTGGAGGAGCAAAAGCCTCCCACTTCAGTTACATACAGTCTACTTCAACCAAAAGGCTGTAGGGGGAAAGGAAAATACAAGGGGAGATTAAATATATATGCCTGAGCGAGAAAAGTATGAAAGGTTGACTGAGGTGGAAGATGAGCTGGAGAGAGAGAAGATTGACCTCATGCTGACAGTGCACATCCCTGCAAGCTTTGGTCAGGTCTCAAAGAAAGCACTGCTGTCTTTACACTGATTTCCACAGCTGTTTGGTGGTCGACTGGAGCGACCTGGGGATATCGCATGTCACCCGTCTATAGTGCAACATGAGCTCAGACAGCGGAAAGTCAGGATGTCTCATTGAGGGGAACAATTGATCCAACAGTAAGTGTTGGAGGAAAACCAGGCAGGTCTAACCACATCAGACCAACTTTAACATGCCATATGTCAAGAGTCTTTCTGAATAATTCATTATTCTTCACATACTAAAATTAAGGACATTTTAATATCTTGATTTAAAGAAAAAAACATACATTTTGAACATTTTTCTAGTAGATCAAACACTATATATATGAAAGACAAGAAACATCTGCAGCTCCATAGGAAGGGGAAAGGAACTGTGTTGGCTAAAGCTGGGACTCCAAGAGGAAATGAACAAGCGTATTGCTGGTTATGTGATAAACAGTTGCTAGAAATATCAACTCAACATGAAATTAGGTAAAGTCAACACATTTAAATTTGGTTGGACCGCAGGATTCCTGGATACTGGACAACAAAGGAGCTGCTTTTTTTTTTTTTTTTAAGCCCGTCTTGTCTCGGATCTTTTGCTATCAGAATCATGATTTGAATGCACTTTTTATTTTGTTGTTCAACCCTATAAGATACATTTTTACTTGGTCTCATTTTTTATCTGCCATTGCTTTGATCTTTTCCTGTTGCCATCATAATGGGAAAACTTAAGTCTAGGACACTTGAGGGTTTTAGATCTCTTTAGAAGTCTTGAAGCTATAGATGGGATTCTTAAAACCTGCTTAAGATTTTCTTGTGTTGCTATGTTATGAATGTCCTTAAGAAGTCCAAATATTAACAAAAGAACAACTTAAGAAAAAATTAATTAAATCCCAGATTTGTATTTTACTAACGTCAGTGGGTACACTTCGAATCCCGATTTACATGTGCTGAACTAAACAATATTGGATTGAGGAATAATGAAACGGCGCTGTTTCTCCCTTAATTGCCACAGATTGATGCAGAGCATAACCTGCACAGACTCTGCACACAGGATACTGTGAGCCCTACCTCTAGGTTTACAGTTTCAACATTAAACTCAGTGTAAGTAGAACACATTTTTGCTCTGCCATGATTGAGCGTAAGATCAGGGATTGAAGATTTAACCTTTGGGCTATTAAATGACTTAGAAATAAACTACTAAGCTACCCTTCTGCTCTGCTCATGGCAGCAGTCTGTTCTAATGGTGGCAACCAAGAAACATCAAGACATCTTTTTGATGATGCCATTGATGCCATCACATTTTAGTGTTTATTCTGCTTTTGATTATAATGCCACAGCCTGTTCTACAAAAAAGCTGATGGGGAGCTGCTGCGAGGCACATATGAAGCACAGCTTGCTGCATCTGGATCTTTTTGAAACATCGTTCAGCTCACCTTGTAAAAGATCACATAATGGTGTGAATGCTTTCTGTGGCAGTAACAAAGGAATTCAGGTTTCAGAAACAGCTGTTAGTTTACAGCGGTGAGAATCAAATGAAAGCAGAGAAATAACCAGTGTGGGGCTTTGTATTTCTTATATTTGATCACGAAAAAGCAACTTAGGTTGTTGGAGATGGATGTGTGGACATAAATACTGTGTTGATAGTTGCAACTACTGCAGCTGTTCTTTATGTACAACCTGCCTTCTAAAATTTGCCAGCACAAAATATGGCCAAGGCAGCAGTTTTTTGTTTTTCTTATAGAGAAACTGTGTAAAACTTTAGTGGACAATATATTGGAAGGAAAAAAAACAAACAACAAATTAGAATTAGATGGAAATTACTACTCCACTCCCCTCCCTAAACAAAGAAATAAAAAATAAATCCATGCACAACACTGCAGAAGTTTACTAGAAATTTGCAGTGATGTATGCAGAAGGTTCAGGTCCTTAAATAACACGTCACTGGCAGTTTCTTAGATAACATTGCAAATACCGCCCATCATTCTTAGAATTTCTCAATCTTTTGAACATAAAACATACTGTACTGCATATTGTCTATTACTGTCTAAGGATCTTACCAGACTGTCCAGGTGGAGGTATTCCAGATGGGATTCTGGGCAGGTACAGTAGCACTGTGAGAACACCTGCTCTGCTTCCCCAGCATGGCTCCATGGCTATGGGCTTCGGCACTGCCTACAAACAGAACACACAGACAGGGACAAAAAGGATCAACACATTAAGTATGCAACAAGTAGGCAGTGGTGTGATTTGTATGTACACAGTACTCCTATAGGTTAACAGAACAGCAAGCCAGTCAATTCGAAGGATGTAGCAGACATCCTCAACTCAAGCTGTGGTGCCCAGATCCCTGCTGCCAACATCCCCATGAGCAAAGCTCTCAGCTGGGGGAAGCAGGCTGACTGGCAGCCTGTGGAGCTGTACCTGCTGTGCAGCTGATTTAGATGGAGACCATCTTATCAGGCTCTCCAGGTGAGTGCACAGAAACAGGCGTTAAAATATCAGCTGCACCGCCCCTTCTGCTAATGCCTTGTGTTTTTATACAAGCCCCAAACACAGACACAGATTTATATATAAAAAACAACTTTGTTTCCTCTGTTTCCATTGATCCATCCATCAAGCAAGCAACCCGTAATCATCAGTTAGTTCTGCATTCAAACAGGTGTTGCGATTGATTTTAAATTCCTGAACACAAACCTTTACCTTATTTAACCACATTTAAATATGGTAAAAAATGAAAGCTATTAAGTTTTAAAAAAAATATAAGGACACCACATCATCCCTGTGCAGTCCTACTAGGACTCACTACATGTAGTTTTCCTTACTGTCTGTGTAATACCTAAATGTCTAATATAGTTGTGTTTCCTTTCATCTGAATACACAACAAGGATAAGAGTCACTGATATATTGATCTGGTTTGACCCGCCTGCTGCACTGTACCACAGAGGTCACAGGGATGGACTCTGTTTAGTACTGCAGTCTGTGGGAAAGTGGCATGCTCACATATTGTATGCATAAATACATAATTTTCTTATTACAACTTTTTCTTTCAATTTATTGCCTTGTTTACCCTTTCTCTCTGCTTTTTCTGATCCATCCTCTTTTCCGTGTGGAAATCAGGAGACAAGAACATTCAGAGAATCTGCAAATGCAGTCTAGTTTTTGTGTTTTAATATACACTATTCTGTGTTGTTACTTTTAAAGAAAATTTAAACTGAAAAAATCAAAAAGAAAACTGAAATACAGTAGCAGTTTGATAAAACAAATGAAGACAATGTATGTATGTATGTATATCTATGGTATACAACGCTGCCCTGGGGCGCTTCTGTCAGTGCGCCCCAGGGCAGCTGTGGCTACAATGTAGCTTGCCATCAGTGTTGATCAAGTTACTTGAAAAAAGTAATCAGTAGCTAATTACTGATTACTTCCCCCCAAAAGTAATCCCATTACTTTACTGATTACTTATTTTCAAAAGTAATTAATTACTTAGTTAGTTAACTTTTTAAAAACACGATTTACAACCTGAAGAGGTGATAAAGTGATAGATCTTTCAGCCCAATTCTACTTTTTCTACATAATCCATCATACAAAATGTAATCAAATGGAAAAGTCCCTTTTTTAACTTGCTTTATCAGTTTTAATCTTTTAACTTTATGCATCAAGCAAAAATTTAATTATATGCAACATTCTCTGACTTGAATAAATTAGTTTAACATTTAAACTTATTTTCTACACATTCCAGCACATAAAATAAAATATTTTTTGTGTTTACACTCACTCTTTCAAATAGATGCAAGTAAAACACAGCAGAAAATAAATAAAGTCAAAGACTCAGCGGTCCTGTTGCTCTATTTTCACCTGTAAAGCAGGAGCAGGGTAAGCGGAGGTTTACCCTGGTGCAGGTGTGCTGCGGTCAGTTGAAGAATCCGCGAGTTTCTCTGTGAATTTCCCGGAAGTTTAGGGTTTTTTTTTCGCTGTAAACAGAAGTTTTCTTCCCACGCACGATGGACGCTAATGTTTTTGTCACTTTTTATGGAATCAAACTCAAAGTAAGGTCAGTACTTCCACGCTTTAAACGCTGCACGCTCATACTCTCTCCCACAATCGATATGTGATCCATTGTTGATCTGCACACAGCTGTTGTCACTAGCGGCGCACTCGCTTACATCACTGTCGTGAGACATTCTCGCAAAAAATCACGGTTTTAGTAACGCAGTAACGCAGCGTTCCTACGGGAAAGTAACGGTAATCTAATTACAGTTTTTGCAATAGTAATCCCTTACTTTACTTGTTACTTGAAAAAGTAATCAGATTACAGTAACACATTACTGCCCATCTCTGCTTGCCCTCACCAGTGTGTGAATGTGTGTGTGAATGGGACTAAGTAAAGCGCTATACAAATGCAGGCCATTTAACATACAGTGCTATGCAAAAGTATTGAGTATCTCATTACTTCAGACTTTGCTTGGAAAATGGGAAATATGCACATCAATTTTTTAAAACACACTGAAACTTAGTATTCAAAGTTATTTTTACCTCAAAATTCTACATACAATGACCCATACTGAAAAAACTTGCTTGATTTCTTTGCAAATGTATTTACAATGAAAAACAAATAAAACCTGTACATGACTATTCACAGTCTTTGACATGAAGATCAGTTGAAAATTGCAAATCAAGCTCAGTATCATCCTGCTTCTACTGATCAGATATTCGATGTTTCTACAACTTGTAGTCCACTTCAGTATATTGGACATAATTTGGATGGTGTGCCTGTCTTTATAAGGTCCCATAGTTGACAGTGTATGTCAGAGCACAAATGAAGCCATGGAGTCCAAGAAAAAGACCAAGACAGGATTGCATCGAGGTACAGAAACAATCTGTAGCATTGAAGGTCTCAGTGAACACAATGGCCTCCATCATCCACAAATGGAAGGCGTTTGAAACCACCAAGACTTTTCCTAGAGCTGGCTCCAAAGCCAGTCTAAGCAATCAGGTTAAATGGTTCTTAGTTGGCAAGTGAAAAGGACGGTCACTCAAGCGTTGTTCAGCGGAGAGAGGAGAACCTTCCTGGAGAACAACCATTTCTGCAGCACTCTACCAATCAGGCCTGTATGATTGTTAAGAGAATTTTTATTTTAGTTAAATCATCAAAGTATAATCAAGTAGAAACAAGTATGCCTTATAATCAAGTGTTTATATATTTTCACACGGTAAAGCTTACTGTTGAAAAGAACACAATGTATTCCTTGCTTAAGTGTGTGAGATGTTTGACAAAGACAGGATATACATGCATTCTT